GAACTTTGATTAAATTTTTTTATTTTTGTTTTTTATACTAAAATATAATCTTATAGTATGAAATCTCTATAAATACATATTAGAGAGACATTATAATAATATTATATTTATGTAAAAATCGTTTTATCTGAATAAACGGCTCAGATTTATCTGAGTATGTCAGAAAGAGTATGTCACATTTAAAGTATGTCACAAAGAAAAAATTTCATGTTCACGATTTTTTCTTGCCTTTTTAGAGTGTAAAAAAGAAGAAAATTCATGTAGAAATAGTGCGCCCCCCAAAATTCTTTAAATTTTTTTTGGCCGCCTAATTGGCGTTTACTTGTAGAATTGCTCATATAGGGCCTAAACTATATATTTTAAATAATGTACAGCCTTCTCATAACTATTTCTGCATTTAGATATTCAGGTAAGGGCCTCAAAGTTTAGACCCATATTACGTGAAAGTGGAATCAATTACCATGGATCTGTGATGGATTTTGTTTCTGCTATATTTGTGTCTTATTTTACAGCAATTTTATGCTTGTACAGTTTTGGAGAAGACAATTAATGATATTGAAATTATGCAAATATTCAGTATATTGCTATTTTAAGGTCTATTTTAAAGTCACGCCAAATGTATGTCAATATCATATTTATTGATTTTTTTTTGGAACTATTCCTTACTATGTATTCACAGAAGTATATGCCTTTAGTTATAAATCGCTATGTATTTTGGTTATTAATTACTAAATAAAAGTAACCAGGAAAATGACAGATTCGTGAGACAAACAATTTATTGACAGAAAAAATTATTTTCAACAAAGAGTTTTTGTAAATAATACCCTCTACGCATATTCTAGAAATGCTTACAACGGTTGAGATAAAAAAAATTAGATATTGAAAAATTTAGGGGAAGTTTTGAAGCTAGTTATTATTGGAAATATTGTTTGTGACTTAGAAGGAAAATGACATTTTGAAATTCAATTGAATTTTTTAAATATGCAACGCAGTTAATACTAATGCAAAGTCATTTTAAAATGTTAACAGCAATGCTATTTGTTAAAAAAAATTCTTTTAGTAGTAAAGTATTAGCTCTTGAAGCAAGAGACTGTAAATTGTCATATTTCGTGAGAATCACCCATAAATATATATAGGAAGAGCGTAAACTAATAGTAGGAAATTCTTAAAATTCACCATTTTATTCTTCAGAGTTTTATTCAGAAAAAAAAAAGTTTTAACAACGGACTCGATGAGCAACTCAAATATCAGTTAAAGATCAACATTTAGGAAATTTTAATGATACTCTTGCATTAAAAAAAAACAAGTAGGATCATTTGATCCTGCTTGTTTTAATAATTAATATTAAAAATATTAATTATAATAATTAATATTTTTGTAATAATATTAATTAATATATAATTAATATAATTAATATTTTATATTAATATAATTTTTATAATTAATATAATAATATTTTATGTATAATATTTTATAGTTAATATTCCTTCCTACCTATTTTTATTTAATATTTGAAATTGAGTTCATGACTTCTTTAATCAAATGTTTTAAAGTGGGTAAAAATACATTAGATCGAAAATCTTTCCATTATTCAAACCGATTATTTTAAAAACTGCATTGGCATTAGTAGGAAATGATCTGAAAAACAAATAAAAAATATCAGGACAAAGAGCTAGAAAAATGAAGGAAGACTACAAAATATATTTTTTTATCAGGAAACTTCGAAATTTTAGGATAGCTACAGACTCTGATATTATTAATCTTAAAGCTCTATAATATTAAAATAAATGAAGAAAAAAAAGTAGTTTATAATTTATTTATTATTAAAGTATTAGTGCAAAAACTTACTTTTACAGTTTTATATGCAGCCCATGCCACTTTGCTACTTTCTTATCATTATTTTCAAGAATTTATAGTAATTATTAGTATAAAATTCAAATATGTAAATATTTATGTACGTACAATATAAATAAAATATATATTCAATCTGTTGCCTTAAATATATCAAAATTTGTGTTGATTCACTGGATAAAAAACAAGAAATATATAGATTTCATAAAACTCAATACATATATTGTAAATTGTATGAAGGTTAATAATGATATTCAATACATAATATTGAAGCGTAGCATTTTTATATTACAGGTAAGCAAGTGGGGAAATTACTCTTCATCAATCAATCATAAATTTGTTTTACTTGTCCGAGTAAATTCTATTATTTCTACAATAATAACAGTTAAATACTATGAGATGCTTTAGAGTGGCGTAGTTAATTTCAATCAAGGGTTTGAAACATTATTTGTCATATTATTTTAACCCCCTTCCCCCCAAAAAGCATGTTTAAATTGAAAAAGCCTGGTTTAAACCAATCAAACCCTGTTTTTTCGGGGGTTTTTTCAACTCTGATTTAAGAACCTTCGACTACTCTTCCTGACCTTAATAATGATTCTTCAGAAATTCTTTAACAATGATTGCTTCTGATTTGCAAATCTTTTCTATTAGATTTTAGTTTTATTTTTCGAAAAAGCGTTTCTGTCACATTTTTAATTTGACCTGCTTATTTAATTTTGTATTATGATAAATTCAACTATAAACAGAGAATAGAAAAAAATCTACAACAACGATTTTAATTTTTTATTCTTCTATTACTGTAAAAGTATTAACATTTCAGTTCAACCATATAAATTTAAATTTCATTCATCATTAAAATAAAGTTAAAAACAAGAGAAATTGCACGAAATTGAAATGTCTGAAATAGAACGTAATTTACTTTCCAAATCTCACTTTTGTCTTCCTTAAAACATTTGTTTTCATTATCCTTAAAGAATTAACAGCGAACTAAAAATTAAACCGAACTTCACAAACTCAGTTAAAGAAATAATAGAAGGAAAAAAAAGTTAATCAATTTAACTAGTAGTTAAGCTTCATATCGTAGCTAGACGCAGAAACAATTAAGGGGATGGGCGAGGATATTATTATTTTGCCTCGCTTAAAAATAAAAAGAAATAAAAAATAAAAACGCCTTTTTTATCTCATCTAGTATTAAAGTAGTAATTATTGTCATATTTTCGTTTATTTCTTAAGGATTTAATCAAGGATAAATATATAAAGATTTTCCACTCTAATTTTAGAGCGTATAAGAAGTTGACGCGTTTTTTTTTCTTTCAATGCGCAGCAAAATGGCGGCATTAGCCTAACTAAACGGTTTTAGCACCATGCTACGGCAGAAAGCTTAACTACTAGTTAGATTGAAGAGTAAATCGTTTTCTTTTGGTATTTTCAATGGAATTTATGAAGCTTTTTAGAACTGTTTGGTTATTTTTTTATTTTATTTTAATTCTACGAAAGGCTTAGATGTCAATTTTTTTTCAATGTGTAACAATACATACGCGTAACAATACAATGATACATTACAAACATTAAAAAATTTATGTCACTACCTACGGGGCCCTTTTTTTTTCAAATAAATAAAATTTTAATGGAACATAGATATTTTAATTAGGGGTATAAGCCTAGAAATTTAAATTCAGTTTCAATGAAATGGGCTGCCCAATACCATTTGATCCACGGACCGGTACCGGTCCTCGGACCGGGGGTTGAGGAACACTGCTCTAGAAGACAGGTTTGTCCCAGTTCTTTTGCCAATAAAAAATTATTTATAAACCTTAGTTTTTATTTGACAAAGTTAATAATTTAAGTAAAAAATATTTGTGTAAACAGAGGGCAAATATTATAAACTACTCCTTCCCCCCAAAAAGCATGTTTAAATTGAAAAAGCCTGGTTTAAACCAATCAAACCCTGTTTTTTCGGGGGTTTTTTCAACTCTGATTTAAGAACCTTCGACTACTCTTCCTGACCTTAATAATGATTCTTCAGAAATTCTTTAACAATGATTGCTTCTGATTTGCAAATCTTTTCTATTAGATTTTAGTTTTATTTTTCGAAAAAGCGTTTCTGTCACATNTTAAAAACATTAAAAAATTTATGTCACTACCTTCGGGGCCCTTTTTTTTAAATAAATAAAATTTTAATGGAACATTATTTTTAATTAGGGGTATAAACCTAGAAATTTAAATTCAGTTTCAATGAAATGGGCGGCCCAATACCATTTGATCCACGGAACGGTATCGGTCCGCGGTGCGAGGGTTGGGGAACACTGCTCTAGAAGACAGGTTTGTCCCAGTTCTTTTGCCAATAAAAAATAATTTATAAAGCATAGTTTTTAATTTGACAAAGTTTATAATTTAAGTAAAAAATATTTGTGTAAACAGAGGGCAAATATTATAAACTACTAGGTAATTTCAACTTTGAAATTTTATTATGTTGAAAAATATATAAATAAAAAGCTGTGCATACCTCCCATGTTTTCCCTAACCACAACCATAAGTTGATTTAATAAAAACATTTGCTTACCTCCAAAGGTGATAAATTTATAAGTCTTCTTCATACAGATCTTAAATTTTTAGTAGCGTGATCCTTTTTTCCCCCGTTGACTACTTTTTAGCTTAATGCAGTAAATTAAACATTAACAAAAGGTTACAAAAATAGACATTTATTTAAAATTCACATGACAATTCACATCACAAGTCCACATACACAATTTCCATGGATGATTAATATTTAAAAATGTTTGAGGTAGTTCACATCTGTGTAAAAGTATTTTATGAACTCCCAAGTGCATCTCAGTCAGGTAATTTGTGAGGTAGGTGTTTCATACAAAATTAATCTTCTTTTAAGTGGTGATTTTCTTCATCCATATTTCATTACGTCTGTTCACAATAGTATCAGGTTTGTCGTATTTCACTTGATAGTACGTCGTTTTGTCTATCGTGGCGTCGTTTTTCAAACTTTCAGCCAACTTTTCTGATTCTTCAATCCACGTTTCTTCGTGCCATGCATAGCCGGTGAACTTCCTGCATAAATTATCAAAATCATTTATATTTTTGATTTATTTCTATATTATTACAAATTTTTTTTTCCTGTTTCATTTGAATTTTGTCTATGTTTAAGAAAAAAAATATTAAAAAAATAAATAAAATTAAGAAAAAGAACCCCGTAGCTATGCTGTTGGAATATATCCATTTAATTTACAATTTTCTGGCTATAATACAAAGTTTAAATACGTGTGAAATTTTAAAGTTTGAAATTTAAAACTCTATTTTTTTATACTTTAGACTTCCTAGAACTATAATAATATTTAATTTTACAATTTTATTACCGTCGTTAAACAGCCGACCAGATTTTCAGTTTACGGCTACCAATGTTCAACCCCGTAGCCTTGTAATTTTATATCCAATCCAGAAGACGAGGAAATTTCTGGATCAAGTATAAGAAATTTTCCTTCGTGGAGGACTTTTTAATGGAACTGACCAGCATTTGCATCACATGGAGAGGAAAACCACGAAGACCACATACGGTTAACCTGACGGCAAAAGGACTCTAACCCATGATCCGTTTACCACTGATGATATTTTTACGTCAGCACTGTGGTCGATGCGAGCCGGGTGCGGAATTCGAATAAACCAGCCTTTGCCGGGATTTGAACCCGGTTCACCTCATTGGGAGGTGGGTGCTCTATGCCCTAAGTCATCACGTATAATAATATAATAATACTAGTGGGCTGCGCCCCCTGCTTGCTAACGCTCGACAACCCCCGAAAATTGCTACGCAATCTTATATGGTTTGCTTTGAAAACCAAGAAGCTTCAATCGCTACTAACTTAGGTACATGCAAATGCACAAAATTCTAAGAATTCAAAACCATTCAAATCCATATAACAACTTTTTTTTTAAAAAAAATTGCATCTTTTTAGTAAATACTAAGTCATTAAGATAAATTTGAATTCAAATAAATGACAGTAATTCGTTAAACCTGTTCGAAGTGTGCTATAGTATAAAATCTTAGGATAAAATTTCTAAAACTGATATCTCTTTAAAAAGGTTAAAATTTTGGCTATAATTAAGTCTATTAAAAATTGAAATAAGTTAATTGCAATGGAAAAACCTGCATAAACAAATAAATTCCAGTAAAACAAATAAATTCGTGATATAAATCAAAAATCGTCAAATAAATTCATAATATATAAATTCGTGAAAAAAAGCGCTTTCGACAAAATACTAAAATAGAGATCTATCGACAAAGACTAATCACTTCTGCCTAGCTTATGCTCTCTCTGGTTATTTCAGTTTCCGTTTTTAAAAGAGCTATATGTTGAGCCATCTCAGCTAGATTTGGCATGTGGCATTTTTAGCGGAAATCATTGATCGATTTTCTAGCCTTGCCATTCGGGGAGTTGTAATGAGGCTTTTTTTTTGTCGCCGTGTAAGAGAAATATATATATAGATTGGTAAAATTTTCATTCAGGGTAGAGTGTCATGGTAAAATCTTGGGATGGGTAACAGCCAACAATTCGTAGTATTAGGGATATTTCGCAAATTTATTAGCTCCCGTGCCAAAGATTTTTAAGTAATTGCGCATGCGCTCTCTAAGTACGCATTCATCATTCTAGAGATAAGCGCATGCGTCAGTGAAAAAATATCAAACTTATATAAAATAAGAGATTTCGCAACAATTATTATGCTAGAAACGCTGATGTTGTGGGAATATCGTTTTAATTTTGACTACAAAATCAAAATAAACATTTACAATGGTAACAGACGATATCTTTGTTCAACCAATTGTGTAATATCACACGATTTTTTGCAAGGAAAAATAAAAGTAACTGTTTGTAAATTTCAGAGTTCTCAAGCATTTTAATCAAAAACCAACAACATTCGAACAATACTTAAAACTGTTCTTTCAAGGGCTCCGATAGCGACGTGATGAATTAATGCTTTTCAGCGAATAATGTGCTATTTTTAAAACTATTGTTAATCTGTAATGGCTATTGGGTGAAAATTTAAGCTTCTATAACCAGAGTCACCTGTTCTAATTATGAAAATGGTACGAAACGTCAATCTGAAAAAAAAACTACATTTGTGGAAAAATGAAAAAATTTTGTGATTTAGTTTTTTAATATTTGAAAAGGTATTCTAAAGCAGCAATCAGCAATATCACTGTTTATAAAAATTTTCAAAAATTAAGAATTGTTTATTGATTTTGAACTAAATATATATATAGCTTGAAATTATAGCTTCTATTTGAAGTTTAAGGTGCTGAAACTGTTGTTTATTTTCGTTGGCGAAAAAGAAGAAGCGTTGGAGAATCTAGATGGAAAAATCTCGCTATCTTAGTGAGGTTTCTCAAGAAATTTTTTATAATTATTTCAACAATTCATGTGTTTTAAAGTACCTAACATTTTTTTTCAACAAAATGGTTGGTATAATTTAAAATTTAAGCTTAATTCGAATTTAAAGCTTGCAAACTCAGGTTTTTTATTTCAATTTTTTTTTTTTTTTGGCAAAGAGCTACTAAGAACATCCTTAAGGACGTATGCACCTCACGCAGTACAACCACTCTCGAATTTTCTGCCATTTAACTTTATAAGTTAAACCTGTCCAACCCACAAATAATTAAGTAATTTTATAAAATATGTATAATTACCTGACCGCGTACACTGTTGGTTCATCATATATAAAGGTAATGCCTTCCTCAGTCGGCAATGGAGGGGCGGCAGCATACTTGTTGGGAACCTTGAAGTCCATCTGGTAAACAGTGCTCTGTTCTTTGTAAGTTGCGTGCATTCTTACCGGGATAGTCATGTTTATTTTCAATTCTATAGCATAAACATATAACGTTTGTGTAAGTTTCACAAAATGATACTTAACAATCTCAGATTTACACAAATGCCGATAACTTTACGGTATTTAATTTTTACTTACTTAGATTATTTTTTCCATTGATATAGCCAGCCAACTTTGTAAAAGCTCTTGATGCAGCTATTTTAAAATAACTGTGCTCTGCTGTTGTGGATACCCAGGTAATAGCTGAATATTTTCGAATTTCATAATCCTGGTGTGGAATAGAAATGTATATTAATTTTGCAGATCAGAAACTTTAAAAACAAAGTCTCGAAATAACTTAAGTAGACTAAAAAATAAAAAAAAATTGTGTCAGAAAAGATGCGCTAAAAGGATGTCCCAAAATTCACTCGAGATTTAAATGTACGCTATTCGGGTAATAGAATAGGTAAAAAAAAATTAATAAATCGGGGTAGCTAACAGTTTAGAGTTATTAAAACTGAAGATACCCTCGATAAGCTACCGTAATCGTAAATTTTGTGTAAATTTGGCGAATAAAATTGTGCTTTGACGAAAGTATAGGCGAATGATTTTTTGCTCTGGAGAGGAAAATATAGATTTAACTCGCTCCTCAAAATTACGTCAAAAGGAATTTTTCTAAACAAATCAGTATTTTTTATTCGATGACAGTAATTTTGGGTGGAAGCGCCGCAGATCCAATTAGAATTGGGCCCAAATAATACTCGTATAAGCCTCAAACAAACTATCGTAAAATAGATTTCGATGGGAAAAAATTAATTATAAAAAATTGTTAAGATATGTATTTTGCGAAGCCTTCGAAAATTGGCTACTACTTTTGATATCTGACTAATTTACTGGTTAATAATCTTAGCACGGGCCCGGGTACAGTATCAACGAAATAGTGCAATTTTTATGCTAATTGGTCCTTGAAAATTTCGAAAAAGGAGTACACACATGCCAGCAAACCATTGGCCAGATATGCTATTTCATTCGTAAACCTATGTATATTTTATGAAGCAATTGAAAATTCGAAATTTTTAATGAAAAATTCGTGTTTTGTATCAAAATTACTAGAGTGAATTTTAGGATACTCTGTAAAAAATTAAGATTTATTACTTACAGGGTGTTTGGCCAGTATGGAATAATTGGGACATTCACGATTTCTGTAAGTACATCCTTCAACAAGAAAAACCACCAAAGAAAGCTGCAAAAAGACACAATATGAATACTTATTACTAAACAGTAATTGCTAGTTTTCGTGCCCGAACCAAACTATCACTTTTCATTAAAAAAATTTATCAATCAAAAATGTGAATAATTATCAGAATATTACATACAGATAGAGTTAACAGAACGTTATCAGGAGGTGAATAATATTTAATTATCCACAGTATCCGCAACTAAATATTGTTAAGTCATTTGTTCATTAAATAGCATAAATGATAAATCGATACTTATATGGCTACAAATCCAAGGGGTTTTTAGATTTCTGCAATATATAAAAATGTGGTTGTTTATAACAATGAAGGTAAACAAAATTTGTTTCACTTTGTCAGCACTTGAAAACTTTACAGCACAATTATTTGGTCTAATATATTTGTTTAAATTTCGGCGATTTCCATATCATGATCTGTGGCAGGATAATTGCCAAGTCTTGGCAGCTTTCGGGGAGCAGTCGGCGAGAAGCCAAAATAATAATAATAATAATATTAATAATAATAAAAAGAAGAAGAAAATCACAGAAAAGGACCAACTCGAAGGCCTCAGGGCAAATCTCCTACATGTTTTTTTTTTTATTTTTTCTCTTTTTTTGAAATTTTTTTTCCTGCTTAATCCGCAATTGTTATCGTGATCCGACGCCAACTACGACCGCCAAGGTGCCAAAGAGATTTTAAACTTGCAAAGGATTTTTTTAAAACAAAACATGCAAATATTTGCTCGGGTAGGCTACGAGTTATACCTTTCTAGTTGGTCCTATTCTGTAATGTTCTTTTCAGCGTAACTACCATTACAATTATTCAATTTCCATTCACTATATAAAATATAGTAACCAGTGCCGGATTACCCATCAGACCATGGCCTGTGGCCTCCAATGGTTAGGGACCCCCTTAAAATGGATTTTTTGAAAATGAATTTAAAAAAATTAAGAAAAACAATGATTTTTTTAAACAAAAATCAATTTCAAATATATATTAAAATTTTTTCAAAATGTTATGATTATTTTTTAGTTCTAATTTAGCAAAATAAAGTAAGATTTAATTTATTATTATTTATTTTTATATTAAATATGCCTTCTTAAATGAAAAGACCTATAAATACTTTTATATTTGAATAAATAAAAAATATACGAGAAAACAACTTAAGCGAAGGGCCCCAAAAATTTGAATGGCCTTGGGCCCCGCGTACGCTTAATCCGGCCTTGATGGTAACTCGATTATAACTGGAGGTACTTATAGGTAGATGACAGTTGACATTGTCGGTAGACTACACCCTACAATGTCAAACCTCACATCGAATCGCGTTACATTTGCTACTAGTAAAAAACATTCAATCGACCGTTTAAGAGAGAGAGAGAGAGAGAAGTTGGCAAGAAATTGGCATTTATATATTAACCTTCAATTATTTATTTATTATGTAGTTAGATTATTTACTCGCTGCAGTATTTTTACACTAAAGTGTTAGTTCAATAGTTTTTTTCCTTGCTTTATTTTTATTAGTAACAATGTATCAAATAATTGATTTTATATGACTTGTCCTTTCTAGCATTACAACACAGTAAACAAAACACCTTTTTAATTTTTTCTTTAAAAAAGGGATTGAAATTTTTTTCCATAGAATTTGAAAATATTGAATCTCTTTGACAACTATAAAATTGCCTTGTTCTTATTATGAAATAAAAAATTCATAAAATAAAAAATTTGCCGCGCATATTTACGTCAAAAAAAGGTTAAAAATCAAAATGTAAAAAAATTCTGCTTGTGTCTGATTCGAAAAAGGTGGTAAACGCTACAATTTCAATATACATATTAATTCACAATTAATTACAGAGAGAGGGCAGTGATCTGATTAAGAAAAAAAAAACTGGCCTTAAACGAAAACTATTTTTTGATCATAACTATTCCTTGATATAGATAGATAACAGAATCATAAAGACAACATTTTATGTTGACTTTTTTCTTACGTAATGAATAGTCTGAACTTATATCATTTCATCATCGTGAATTGCTGCGAAAAATATACGTTTTCATTTTTTAAAATTTTGACAGTAAAATTTATTTTTGACAAAAATTGTCTTCCCTTGTGACAATATAAAATTAAAGAATGTAAATATATAATTGGAGTATTTAAAATTCTATTTTCCACTTCTAAGAACCTGTATTTCAATTTCGCTTTCTTTTGGAACTTTAGAGACTTAAATTAAAAAATGTTTTTCGCTGTGAGAAATTACAAGGCTTTTCTAAAAAAATATTCACATAATGAAAAACAAAACCAAAATAAAGTTTGCGTATATTTGCACCTAAAAATATTAAAAATATAAAAAATTTAAAAATATTCTCCGTATTTTATTCCGAGTACTTGGACTGTGTCTATGTATCTTGTAACAATTCAAGAAAAAAAAAAGTTACTTAGATTAATTTGGAAATTAATAGAAAACGTTAGTTTTGAAAGTTAATTTGAAATTACAAAGATTAATTGCTAAAAGATCTTAATTTGCAAACAATCGTAAATTGCTAATATACAACCATTTCTTGCAAAACTCGAAGCCGTGTTTATTAGTTTTGTAAATGAACAATGCATTTCCAATGTTGATAAATTGATTTAATCCATAACTAATATAAAAGACGAATTCCAGATAAATAACTTCAAAAGTCTTGAACCAGCAATCAATTTAAATATTATAGTTGTTTGCTATTTTAGCAATAAATAGCAGAAATTTTATCATAATATAAGAAAACTGGCTACAGAAATCGGCGCAAATTCACAATAACTTACAATATCTTAAAAAAAAATACAACCGAAGTAACAGTGCTTAATTGTTTAGCGTCTAGCATGTAATACACGATAAGGTTACTTTTAATTCTATACATTTTCTTCCATCTTCCCTAAAATAATATTTAATTTCGAATTCCTTTTATCCTCACAGAGCAAACTTTTCTGTCTTTAACTTATATCGGTTAAAATGCATTTTCAATTTTAATAAAAATTCTTACGTCCGAATTTAAAAAATTGACATATTTTTGTAACATGTGAAAATAAATACATACTCATTTATTAATATATCGCGATGATAGTTTGCAAGATATCGTCAATATAATCCTTTTTTACCGATATGCTAGATTTAAAAAAAAATATTTTTTCTTCTATCAATGTTCAACTTCATAGCCTTGTAATTTTGAACACAACCTAGAACACCAAGTGACTCCTGGATCAAGCTTTGGGAGAAACTACCTTTCGTGGAGGATTTTTTGATGGAACTAAGCTGCATTTGCGTCAAATGGAGAGTAAAACTACGAAAACCTCCATCTACCACTAGAGATATTTTACGTCCGCACTCTCGTCGGCTCGAGCCGTGTGCGACCAGCCATAGCTGAAATTCGAATCTGAGTCACTTCGTTGGGAGGCAAGCGCTCTCTCGCTATCATAGCAACGAACATGTAAGAACTTACAAAGAGTATTTTACTTGATTCCTAAAAATTTAAATTATCTAGATCTGTATACATTAATCACCCCCTCGAAAAGCGCCGCGAAATTTCAAAATTTCCTTAAAAAGGACCCAGAGGTGGAGAATTTAAGAATCTCCATTTTAAATAAAATAAAGCAATTTAATTGGGAAAATAAATTTGTAAACACAATTGAAAATAAGTCGATTAAAAAGTCCTCATATTCACTCTGCAATTTTTTTTCATATTTAAGCTCGACTCGACTTGTAAAATATTTATTTTACCAAAAAATAATCCAATCACTAGTAATTAAACAAATAAAGCTAAATTTTAGAAACTTAATTATTTTGTTTTGCATCAAAAAATATACAAATAAATAGATAAATAAATAAACTAAAAATAATAAATAAATAAATAAGTTAAAAATAATGCTTACCAGGACTAATGAAATCTTCAACATTTTAAACTTAAAAAAATAAATAATGAGAACGAAATTTTCGAATCTTACAGATCGAACTAAAATGTTCGATTTCGTTCGAAGTGGTGACTATTTATTCATTACAATCTGATATGACTAGGCATGTTTTTCACAATGGCCGAATTTCGGGAAAGGTTACACACGTGGCTAACTGAGTTTTGTTGTATAATACATTTATTCTAGAAAAAATGTAACAAACGTAAACATCTAGTGATGACCATTACAACGATATTGGTGTAAGAAATGTAGATAATGTTCGATTTTCTTCCAGTGAAATATTTTCTTATTTACTTATATGTTCTAATCTGATAACGGGCTTAAGTTATATAACGAGGTTTTATAACAAAGTTTTGTAACAATAATTTGAGAATTCTAAGAAAATAAGAGAATTAAGTAAATTGTAATAAATAGAATGCATGGATGTTGTAGAAAAGTGCATATTGAATTTTTCAAATGCAAATTATTCGTTGAAGGGTAACATCACTCTTAACATTTCTTTTGAATTCTTTATTACATTCCTTTATTACATTTTCTGAAAACCTATAAGATGTAATATAATAAGAATTTAGGTTCTATCGTTGATTAGAGCCTCTTTCCTCTATAAGTCTAAGGTCATCACTCCAAGCCTTGCAGTGGGGAAAGAATCAAAACAACATAAAAGGAACGGGATATTTCTTGGGATAATACATAATTGCCAGATAACTTTTAAAAATAGCAAACGACAAAATAAAAAAAAGTATAATTTTCCCTACTTAAGTAAAATAAAGCCCACGAAGGGGCAAGGCTCAACTGCTCCTCCCAGTTTTCTTGATCTTTTTACGCATAATTATAACATAAACATGCCTGAAACATGTATATATTAGTCTATGAATGAAGTTTAAACCATCGAATTTTGCGATTTTTAAGAACAATATTAATTAAAATGAAAAGTTGTTTGATCGAACATACAGAACTTTCATTTGTCAATTCGATTATTTTAAAATTCGCTTTTGCATGCCGAAGAAAATAGGATACTCTGAACCAGTGGTCGGAAAAACTTCATTATTTTTGTAGATTACTTTACCTACAACTACTTTGTTACAAATGTAGTTAACTAGAACTACTTTTTTTTTTTAAATACAGTGACTACAGACTGCTTTCGAAATGTAGCCACTACTTCAAGGAACCGAAATTTGCTGGAGGAATTAATTTGCACCTACGTTCAAAATGGTTTTGAATAAAAAATTGGCTTACATGAAGAATTATTTATAAATATTTATTCATGTTTACATGAGCCAGTTTGCTATTCTGAAACATTTTTTTCAAATTTGTTTATTTAATTCAACTTTATATGCCCTTCTCGACAGCTAATATTTAATTTAGGTAATGATAGAAAATTATTAAAAACTTGCAATTTCGTGAAATGTCTCTTTTATTTCTTCTAAGAAATAAGGTCAAATATATGTTCCTTTCCTTTGAAATAACACCAATACTTCACGAGTCTGGAAGTTTAAATGAAATGTGGAAGTGCGACCAAGTGATAAATTATATATTTTTCGTAATGGTTAGCTTAAATATTAGTTATACGTGTCTCTAAATACTCAATTATTGCTAATTCACAGTCATTGGGGCATTTTAAATTGCATTCGATAACAGGCCCGCAAAGATTTGTACCCATCAAATTCGAAAAATTAGTTGTGTTAGAAACCTGTTTCTTTACTGAGCTAACTTTAAAAGTAGTTGCCAGGAATTGCTACAAACTACAGTTTTTTTTTATCGCACTGCTCACTACACTACTTTTTTTAAAAAGTAGCACACTACACTTCGTCTTTTTCTTCTTTGTCAGCGCAACAGCCCCTTGCAGGCCTTGGCTGCCTCAACAGCTGACAAACACCAGCGCCTCCTATCCATGGCAACTCCCTTCCAATTTCTAATCTTCAGGGTTTTCAAATCATTTTCGAGTTCGTTGAGTCATCTAGTAGGGGGTCTGCCTCTGGGACGTGACCCCTCGGTCTACACTGCAAACTACATTAAATTTAAATTTATTAAAACTTAGATAATGGTTGCGCGCGAAACATATAAAAAAAATATATAGTTGTGTGACTTCATATGAATTAAAAGCAGTTCACACTTTCATATGAATTAAAAGCAATTAAAATAATTGGCAAATCAGAAACCAATATTTTCTCTCATGCTCTCCTCTTTTAATTATGTGAAAAAAATGAATATTTTTTTAAGCAGAAAAGAAAGTGCATTTGAAAAAGAACGAAAAAATCAATCCAAATAATCGAAATCTATCTATATTATATAAAACGCTAATACGTACGTATGTATCAATAAAACCGATGATATTTTTTTTCTCGCGTAGGCAACAGTTTTTATTTTTAATTGATAGGATTCGGCGCGCAAGAGCACGTAGAGATCATCATATGGCTAATCTATATTATATAAAACGTTAATATGTTTTAATTGATAGGCTTCGGCGCGCAAGAGCACGTAGTGAGCATCATATGGCTAATCCATGTTATATAAAACGCTAATACGTTTTAATTGAAAGGCTTCGGTGCGCAAGAGCACGTAGTGAGCATATCATATGTCTAATCGGGTGAATTCTCACCGAATTATCTTCATCGAAGCCGATGCTTTACATCCGGCGTTCAGTATTATTTCATATTGCTTTACAACGCATGGTTTTAGCCCTCTGGTGGTAAAGACTTTAAAACAAAACTTACAAAAGTTACCTATCTCAACAACTGAAATTTAGAATAGTGTGATTAAGAAAAATATGTGAACTGTTTGCAATTTCAAATTAATATTGAAATGCACAGATTTAGAATTTTCTACAGTTAAAGTTTTCGGAACTTCAGTGTTCAAAAATGTATACAAAAAAAAAGCTAGACGTTAAGAACGTAGCCAATGCGCGAGCAAAGCGAGCATCGTTCTGTTACAACCCCCGCCAACCCCCGAACTGCGAAAGCAGTTCCGGGGGTTGGCGAGCGCCTAGTTAATAATAAGAAAAACAGAAAAAACTTTTCCATGATCACGTGAAACAAACTTTTTTTTTCTTCTAAAAAATTTTCTTTTTAAGGATATGTTACGATAATCATCTAAAGTAAACATCACAAAAGGATGAAAATAATGATTAATCGATTCCATAAATAATATTTATTTCAGATAATAAATGCATTTATAAAAATTTATTTACAGTTAACCATTTTAACTAAAGTAATGATGAATCAAACTGTGAAATTAAGATTAAACTGTGCATTTTTTGATGGGAAAAAAAACATATTTTAATTTAAAATATTTAACTGAAGATTTGATTTCAAGACTTCCAAATAAAAATTCTGATCCAGAAAACTTTCCCTTTACTATCATTAAATGTTTATTTTACTTCAAGGAATTTTTAAGCCTTTGCGGATCAAAGATAGTTAGTAAGACTTATTTGGAATTTTTCATCACAGATCAATAAAATTCAAGCATGTTTCTGGATTGTTTTCACCCCATCAAAATAACAACATGGTCAAATGAAGTGAACTGCATCAAATTTGGAATTTTTCATAATAGCTATGAGTACACACCATTCAAATATATTTCTGAATAGCTCCCTTTTCCCTCCAATCCAAATAGCGGCATGTTTAAACGATGGTTAATAATGAATACAACATGCATCATATTTGGATTTTCATTACAAATAATATTCAGGAATGTTCCTGGATATAGTTCTGTTGTTCAGCCAAAATGCGACATGCACTAAAAATGGTCAATTATCAGGCAATTTACATCGTATTAGGATTCCACATGACGATTGATAGATAGTAGTTAATATTCAACCTCTGGATAGTTTTCACGCCATTAAAATAATAACGTGTTAAAATGAAGCAATCTGCTTCAAATTTACATTTTTCGTAACTGCTATAAGTAGATATCATTCAAATAAGTTTCTGAATTAAAGTTTCTGAATCTAAGTTCTCCTCTCCGTATTATACTTAACCACACAAGTTTTTAACATATAAGCATTTCATTACATAGCAGAAAATTGTATTTCAGGTTCAAAATATATTAAATTTCCTTAAGAAAAACAATTCGTTTTTCTTAAAAAGAAAAAGAAAATAACTGACATTTTCCAGAAAAAAAATATCGTACGAAGATTTCAAAAGAAGCATTTTTACAAAAAAAATTATTTATAAAAAATTTGCTTATTTTAACATTTTATATTAAATATTATTTTCTATGAAGCATGGCATGCAATACAAATCTTTTAATTATAAAATGGAAGGCACAGAAGTGATGATTAGTCCTTTTTTTTGGAGAAGCACACTGATTATACATTTATTAGTGATTTAATTGTTGAACTTAACTTTATAAACTTTCTATAAATTTTCATAAAGTAACCCGCATGTCCAATTCGTATACTTTATGGAGTTCACTTATCATTCTAGTCTTCCTCTGCTCTATCAAAAGATTGTTTAGGATAAACTAACCAGTGAAGAAACACTTAGCTTAGCTAGTCTTTAAAAAAATCATAAAAGTTTCAAAATTTGTAATTTTAGTTAAGGAACTAAGTCAACATATTTTTTATTAAATGCAAATTATGTAAAGAAATTTTTTAGGAGGTTTACATTATATTGTATTAAACTTTAGATGGTTCAAATGATGAGTAGTAAGATAACCAAGTGAAGGAACAGTTCTTACCAGTGAATAAACACTAAATTTTCCCAGTTAATGAACACTTAATTTTGAGAATTTTTGATGCTCTTTTGGAATTCATTGGCCATGGCATACCAATGTCTGAAAACAAGATTTTTCTTGGAATTATAACATATAACCACAGTTAACGTGGAAAATTGTACTTTGTTTTTCAGTCATGAAATGAAAAGTAAAGTGGGGTTAAATACATAATAAAAAAAAAATATTTTTCATTTTTTTTCTTCTCTCAGTTCGATAGCCTCAGTTCTAAATCATGAATGTTTATCATTGTGTAATTCGATGATGTTTTTATTACTATTATTATTTTATATTTTTTTTTCTACTTTTCCCCCCTTATTTTTTGAAGCTATTTTTTATCTTTCTTTTTGTGTATTTTTTTCTTCTCTTCGTCAAACCTTTTTGCTTTAACTTTTTTTTTTAGTTCTT